CTCTAATGCCGCTAGTCATCAAGCTCTTGATGAGTTGTAACACTGAGTCGGGGTTATCAGTCCAATCAATGTTAATGTTGTCGCTGTAAAGAAAATCGTTGCAATAATGATTATAGATTTTATGAAAAAAATTAAGAAAAAAATAAAGAAAGAATCATAATGAATAAATTAATCTTTAGTTTCAGACTTGCAACCCATCCACGGCCGATGTATATGAGTCGTGTTAGCGTGAAGAGCCTTCTGCACATTGGGATTATTTAAATATTTGGCGACGTAATCATCGGTGCATGGATCGAAATCCGATATCTGCGTCAAAGAGAACATAACAAATTGAGAATAATTAGATGAATTGCAAAAGAAAAAAAAAATAAATGCTCAATAGATGTTCAAAAGATGAAATATTACTGAAGAAAATTGTCCAGACGAGCCGCATAATGATGCGTAAATGTTGGAAGGGTCGATGTTGCCATGCTCCTTATGCCATTGTTGATTGTAGAATTTACAAAGACTTGATTCAGGTTTATCTGAATAGTAATCGCAATTCTTTTTTAAGCCTTGGTAAGTTTCATCAGATATAATTGCATGACTATGGTAGAAATCCTGTCTTCCGATGTTCACATCTACATAGTCGACGTATGCATTCCCGATCTAAGAACAAAAACGAAACAAATATTAACAAAGACCCAAGTGCTTACCAAATTAACAAAGGCATTAGTGCACAATAAATGAAACTCACAGCAATTCCTTTAAGGTTAATAAAGGCGTTCTTCGGAATTTTATTATATCTGAGGATTAGGTCGGCAAGCTGAGGCACATAATGACCGGCATAACTTTCACCCGTTATGTAGAAGTCTCGGGTTTTGTATTCTGGAAACCTCTGGAGCCAGTTTACTAAGAATGTGTAAGAATCCGCAGCTGTCCTTTTGTCGCCCGTTACATAATCGGATGATCTGTTTGAGTACGAAAATCCAACACCGGCTGGGGATTCCAAGAACAGGACATTTGCCACTGTACACAAAGAACATTAAGTTGTTTAAATCCCGAAATTAATTTGTCTGTTTTATGCATACTTGACCAAATTAATTACCGTTATTCCATGAATTCTTGTTATGCCATAATGTTTCTCCATCCGGGTTCACCCGAAATGGTCCAAGCTCCGACATTGCTCCATACCCCATTGACGAGCACCCGGGCCCTACAGCGCCGAGTATATACTTTCATACTTAAATGTCACATATTTTAAGATAATTAAAACAAAAGTATAAAGTGTTTCAGAGTAAAAATATCCTAATTAGGATGATCATCATAAATCTTACCTCCATTTAGCCACAAGACTAGAGGTTTCTTGGTTGGGTTCTCGGCTTCGGCAAAATAATAGAACAATGCTCGTCCGGCAATAAGGTCAACGGTAACGTAACCTGAATATTGACAAAATCTTACGCTCGGTTGTCCAAGCAATGCTGTGATTTTGTCGGCTTCTTTCCTACCCTTCTGTGATTCCACATAAACCGACGACGAATTAGAATCATTTAAGTAGTCTCCTGTATGGAGAGGGAAGTTGGATTGCTTTCTTAAATTCTTATTCTTCAGAAATTCACGAAGAGGATTATTGTTTCCTCTTCTACTGTGACATTCTGTAACGTAGGCCATGAGGCACAAAATAGAGAAAATGATCAATGAATTCTTCATGTTTCCCATGATATATATTGAAGAATACAATGTTTTTTTCTTGACCTGGTACATTTTAGTATTGTTGTTGTCTTGCTTTTATAGGCATCACCAACTCTTGATGGTTTTTTTTTTTTTTCGATCGAGAGACTTTTTGCAAATATAATAGACGAAAAAAAAAGCAATTCAAATACGACGAAAAAGTTAGTGTATTGAAATATACAGAATTAAAATTATAATTTATTCTTAAATGAATATTAAATATTATATTTAATTCTCTAATAAATTTAAACAAACCCACCTATATATTAATACAGAATGCGCCGAGCCTACGTGGCTGCTTCTAGTGCTTCGGAATCCTATGTGGCAAAATTACATGCTTCGCTTGGGTAAATTTTAATTTAA